TATCCGTTTATCCCACGCTCGTTTACCTCACTACTGTCCCCAGAGACCGAAGAAGAGAAAATCCCCTGACAATGTGTTTCATTATTAGTATTTTTATTATTATTAATATTATTATTGTTGTTGTTATTATGCAATGACAATAAGTCACACACAATACCAATTATACAAAGTATGCCACAAAAGCAGCACTAAACAGAAATGAGTGTTTAAAATCGCAAATTCGATTTTTAATAAAAGTTGAAAAAACAATACACTTACAATACACCACATCTGAAAAGTTATATTTTAGTTTACTGATGTGATAATAATCAACACATGTATTATTATTTGTATTATTTAACATGTGCAGTTACATGTGCACTTTTCAAACCAGGCAACAAATGAATGTCATTACTTAAAATGTTTTGGGAAGTCAATCATTTTGAGTAATTTAGAGGCCCTGCATTTTAGTGAATCAAGTTTTTCATACAGTTCATGACATTTTCTATTATTTAGCTCAAATGTTGTTGCAACATGTTCACCTCCCCAGAGCACTTCACCCCCTCCCTATGAGTGCGGCTGTTGTCACCTAAGCTCCGCACGATGAACTCACTTTCTATATTTAGTTTGTTCGTATAGTTAAGTCAAGAAGCTTCTGTAGCCACAGCGTCCTGCCATGTGGGCCGTGGTCGTGCAGAGGATACCGGCCTGCTCTGGTCTGGCCTGGTTTAGCCCTGCATCGTGGTCATCAGCACCGTGAAGAATCTCGCAAACACTGAAGCCCATCTCACATGTTGCTGCGTGATGGCTCTGGGGGGCAGTGAAGGGGTTAATACCACTCACTCAGCATGCGGGAGCCGTGGCGGGCGGGCAGGCAGTGCAGAGGCTGACCTCTGACCCCTCAGGAAAGGAATGTGGAAGCTCTTTCATCCAGGACAGAAACCAAAGACACCCGGGCGGTTGGAAAGTGGCAGTTCAATTCTGCTTTCAAAGTTTTTGATTAGGGGAAGTAAGCAGAGGTTCCATGTGAATGTGCTGTGGAGTGTTTGCCGTAGCGGCATCTGCCATTTTGGAATGAAGCTCCATGGTGCAGCAGTGTGCTGGATACTTTGTGATCACTGCTGTGAGGGTGAGGTGTGATTAGTGGTTGGAAATGGCTGCAGTTTGTGCTGGTGGAAAACCCTGGTGATGAGGCACTGTGTGCTCTGACCAAGAGCCTATACGACCAGAATGATATGTTTGGACTTATATCACAAGCGACACAGTCATAACCTTTTACTGACATATAGCACTGCAGCCGCAAATTATTTTCACCAGCAGTTTATCCTTGATCTATCAATTTGTTTATTCAGATTTGAGAAAATAGTTCCCAGAGTGCATTGGTGTCCTTGTTTATGCAGACAAAGGCTCCAATATATTCAGTTTACTATCATATCAGACAAAGTGGAAAAAATCAACAAGTTAACTCAATCAATTAATCAACTAATCACTTCAACTCAGCTGGTTGATGAGTCAGTGGCAGATCATATTTAACGAGTGAAAAAAATCAATTCGTTTTAATTTTATCACCCAGAATTCGAGCTGAATAAATCAGAGCTCCATTTTTAAACCACTATGAACATGACTGTATGTTGTCAGTTTGTTCTGTCCGTCACACGTTTCAGAAGGAAAGCAAAGTATGTGTGGGTGTTGTTTAAAACCGAGGGATGGACAGTCAGCAAATATAGAAGCTTATAATCTAATAGGATATGTGGCTCTTTTGATGATGTCAGTATTCGAAGGACTTGCATGCATCTTAGGTTTAAACAGCTCTTGAGAATGAATTCTGTCTCATCTTCTGCATTAGTAGAACAGATTTAATCCTTCACGTAATGAGTTTATCAGCCTGAAGTTCAGCTAAGCATAATTTAAGCAACCGATACACAAACACACTGTCTGTTTTTCGCCTTCAATTTCTTTATTCAAACTTTCCAGTTGTAAGTGAGACGGGAAAAAGTTTGAATCACACAAAAGCACAGATAGCAACTTCCCTCCTATTATACACTGTCGAGTGAAGAGATTTTAGATTTTCCACTTTAAGATAAATATAATAATGCTGACAACAGTAAGGGAACTACAAGAATATAAACCATACTCAATGTATGTGTAATTCTACCTTATATAAACATTATTATTTCTATTTCCATGTTTGTCATGTACAGACACGTGTGGGTTTCGGTGCTGTGAGTGTTAGAACATGAGTGCATGTGGAAGAGATGGGGCTGTATATCACAGATGAGCTGCAGACTAATGATGATGGATCTACTGTGCAAACCTAACAGTGAGGGAGCATAATGAGGAACATACAGCAGCGTGCAAAGTGAACGGTAGTGACACATGCAAGACAGATTCTGAGCGTCATGAGTTGTAGTCAGTTGATTTGGGTCAATAGAGAATCAATAGCTGCAGAATCTATAAGTCACAGGTATGTGTAGAGGCTCAAAAGTACTGTTTCACTAAATATACCAATGTAGTATATATATTTTGTTTTATTTTTCTTATACATATCAGATTCTAGTTGATGCAAGCTGTTTTTTTTACTGCAATGCTACTTAACTTTTAGTAGTTTTCTTGTTGAGGGTTAAGGGCAGAGGATGTCACACCTTTTTAACCCCCTATGAGACAAATTGTGAATATGGGCTAAACAACTACAATTTGCTTGTTTGATTGATAAACTAGTTAAGACTAGATGTCAGCCAATCAAAATTAAAGTGAGTAAACAAGCCACCTTTATGATTTAGCTAAGCCCTGGTTATCACTTGATAGAGCTCTCTCTCCCTTGATAGGAAACATGAACGTAACACTGATCAGGACACATTATTTTAGATAGAGTTTAAAACCAAAGAACGGCTGAATTCCATTTTCTTGTCCTCAGTATTGTTCATGCTGGCTCTCTGTCACCGTCATGACTTAAAGTGGCACCTCAGTAGAACTGTGCTGTTGTTAACGTTGTCAGTACTTTGCTTTTACCATATGAGTCATTGGATGTGCTAAATGTATCTACGCTTTTTTATTTTGATAGATCACTGTAACATCCAACACATGATGTCAAATCACAATTAAATGTATTTTGTGTCAACATCAGCATCCACCGCTTAGCAGGGTCAAGAAGAGTAATAACTGGTTTATATGAATATTATCTTATTATCACACTTCACCTGCATTGTGTGGTAACAAAGCATCAGAGATGTGAAGGTCATTTTAACGATGTGTAGTGAAAAGTGAAAGTGCGTCGTGAAAACATGATGATAGTGCAGATGTCAGTACGAGTCATTTTGGCCTGTTCAGGCCTGAGGGCGCGTCCATGCGTGAGGTTACATCTCCACGTGGTCTGTCATGGTGCCTCCTTTGTGGTCAAGCTCCATTTGGTTTATTTCTCTAACATGACGGTGGCGACTCTCTTCATTGTACTGTATCTGCCTGTCTGTGTGCGTGGCTTTGTGTGTCTGTTTGAGCATGCAGGCTTTTTTTTTTTGGCGGGGGGGGGGGGTACATGATGTTGCATTCGGTGTGACCAGAACCCTGCGTGTTGTATGTGCTGTTGTGTGCGCCGGAGAGAGGCAGGGCAACACGGCATGGTTCGGGCCAGGAATGTGCGATGTGGGTAGGCTGTACAATAGAGCCGGGCTCCCTGAGGGTGGTCAATGGGACGGGTGTCACCCCCCTGCACCCTCCCCGCTGGGTGATGACCATTTCACTACGCTACAGGTGTCAGGTCCTCTTAACCGCCGCTGTAACGACACACGCGTTGGGAGAGCTAAAACACATGTATGCACATGTACACTGAAAGACACGCGTGAGCCCATCGTCACGCAAGTGTATCTTGAAAACATTTGCAGGACCACACACACAACACTAATATGTGTATTGTTGATGTGCACCTACAGTTTACAGTATCTCTACGAGACAATAACAAGCATCTGCAAAAAGCAGATTCCAGCGTATTTCTTAAGTCATTGACCTCTCACACAGAACGGATGCCATTACAGAGCTGTGTGTGTGCGTGTGTGTGTGTGTGTGTGCATACTGTCACATATGCCCACATGTGTTTACGGCACTCGTTTCACGTGACTGACGCTGGGAGCGCGGCTGACATGGCGATCGGTGTTGTGTCCGCTCAACCTTGGACTTAGCTGGTGTGTTAGCTAGCAGGGGTCGCAGAGGTCACTGAGGGTAAATAAGGGAATGCAGAGATGAGAGGGGGGAGAGAGTTCAGCCGGTCTCTCAGAAACACGAGCGTGTGCGGTTCATTTTAATAAACAGCAACAGTAACCGCTTCAACACAGTTTTCAGTTACGCTGTGTGTGGGTTTTTTTTTTTTGAAACTGTGGTTTGTTTGTGACAGTTTTTTCGCTGTTGTCAGGAATTTGTTGAATTTAGAGTGACAGGTAGTACTGGTTCTAGGAAGCAGGAGTTTGTGGCACAACACTGTTCAACCCGACACAACCCTCTCTCTTCCCTGAGGCTTGTGTGTGTTTCTGTGTTTCCTGAGGATTTCAGGAGCCTTATCCAGTTTCATAACAAGTACATACATGTGTACACACACACACACACACACACAAAGCTGCATTTGTGCACGGCGGTGTCATCTGAAGACACATAATGAGGGATAAGGCTGTGTAATTACATTCAGTCTTCGCATGCTGTTATACAGACTGAAGTACTGTGAGTGAGAGTCATCATTCACAAAACTGTTTTTTTGCTAATCCTGTCACGTCCATCAGACTTGTCTTCCGGCTCCCCCTAGTGAGCTCAGAGGACATCTGCTTTTGAAGTGGAATTTGCAAATGGTATATGAGGATTCAGGTCGGGCATGTTGAATTAAGGGCTGGGGGGGTTCGATTTTTGTGCGTGGATTCTGAGGTTTTGATTCGTCCACATGAATCTATTTCACTATCATTAAAAGCTGTAAACCGGTGGGAGACTGGAGTCACTTTTAACCTTGTGTTCGTCATGTGTGCTCTCTCCTCACAGGACAATAAAGATGCAGAGCTGTATTTCCCACTCACCCCCAACCATAGCTGTTGGGACTGGGTGAGGAGGAGAGAAGACAAGAGGAGAGAGAAGGAGAGGAGAGACTGACGCATAGGGAGCGAAGGGAAGTGCAGAGACAAAAGAAAGACAAGTAGAATTATAAGAGGTAAAAATTAGGCTTCAAAGTATTACGATGTTGCCACAAGCTTGAAAACAATAAGTGTCAAGTGTCCCCTCTATCTCATCACAGATTTTGGCTTACCTCCATGTTACTGCTGGATCTTCAGCCCTTCCTGTGAGCTGTCAGACGCCTTTTTTTTCCCAATAACCCCCCCGCAACTTCCCACGTTGAGCCTGCGAGGCAGGGGAGCCACAATTGAGTTTTCATGGCAGCGGCACTCTAGGGCTGCCATGGCAGCTGCTGCCGCCGATGCCTCACACCGTATTACCGCACTGACGCCGGAGGAAGAGGGACGACGGACTGCCGTCAAACTGTTTGGGAGCGCCGCCCCGCTGCCACGGACAGAGAGAGAGCGAGAGCGAGAGAGGGGGAAAGAGAGGGAGAGGGGAGGAGAGGGCGAAGAGATAGGGAGAGCAAGTGGGAACGAGTGTTTGGTGTGCGGGGCTCTGTTCGCCTCAGAGGAGAAGCTGCGGGTCCACGCCCTGAGTCACACGGGAGAGAAACCCTTCCACTGCTCGCATCCACACTGTCCCAAGGCCTTCAGCTCCAAATACAAACTCTTCAGGTATAAAGCCTCCGTCACATTGCTCAGGTCACATCCTTTTAAATACAGTGTGGTGCAAAGATTTTCAGCTTTCTCAGAAGCCACATTTAGCCCCTTCAGAAAGGAAATAATCATAATTTCTATGAGTTAACCTAAAAAATTAGTCTCCAGAAACCAATAATCAAGTCTGTCTTTAAAAAAGCAATAGAAGCATGTTTTTACTAACACTGGATTAATATGGGAAAGGGATTGATGATAGTAACAAAGCCTCAGAAACCACACTGCAGTTCTCCTCAATACTGTTAAGATGTTTTCAGACATGCACCGAACTCCCGATAATCTACGGACATTGGCCGGTCTCCAGAGTTTGTCCAGCCAGCCCCCGAGCCAAAAGACTGGATAATGTCCGACTGAGCCCATGTGTGAACACAGCAGGAGACCCTTAGCAGGATTTATTGCGAGCGATTGGGTTTGTTGACACACAACAAAATAACCCTAAAAGAATACAGAAATCTCCGGATGAAAAGGCAGTGCCATACACACTTAGAAGACATTGTTGTCTGAAAAGAGTTTTTGGTGAGAAGGGCCGACACCAGTGTCAACGATAAACACTTGCTCTCCACAGCGGAATTGATACATTACATCCTGCCTCCTGCAGGTTGCGCCACCCCTCACCTGGACACTTTGAAATGTCTGTGTTGTTGTCTGGATCTCCTGCTGTGTTGTTCATGTGTCAAAGTCAAACTGGAGAAAGTCCAGAACCGATTGTGAGGTCATGTCTGAAAACAGCCATAGCGTCTTCAGCACAGCGCTTCACAAACCACAACATCGTTAGCATCATTGGCACCATTTTCAGGGAAAAGGCTCTGGTCCAAAGTAACAGTTAGCAACAATCTAGTGAACACAGTGCAGCATTCAGAGCCAGATATTTCCCTTAGCAGCTGGTGGAGACCAATGACAAACTTGGAAGGAAGGTGACTATTGGACTTATATCCATCAGGTGCAACACAAACAACATGCCCATACTGATCTGTACGTTTTGTTGCATAACTAAGCTTCTGTCAATTTTGGGTCCTGACTATGAAACATTGCAACTCTTTGATATATGCACACAAGTGGTTTGACTGAAGTAGTAATAGAAACATTAAGGAATGCTACATGTCCTAAGCTTCTTTATTATTCAGTCTCTGTTTTGCTCCTTTGCAGGCATATGGCCACACACTCTCCACAGAAGACCCATCAGTGCTCATTCTGTGAGAAAATGTTTCACCGCAAAGACCACCTTAAAAACCACCTGCAGACCCATGACCCCAACAAGGAGGCCTTCAAGTGTGAGGAGTGTGGGAAGCACTACAACACCAAGCTGGGATACAAGCGTCATATGGCCATGCACTCTGCCACGGCAGGGGATCTCACCTGCAAAGTGTGCATGCAGAGCTACGAGAGTACGCCTGTTCTCCTGGAGCACCTCAAGAGCCACTCCGGGAAGTCGTCAGGTGGCACCAAGGAGAAAAAACATCCATGTGACCACTGTGACCGTCGCTTCTACACAAGGAAGGATGTAAGGCGGCACATGGTGGTCCACACAGGCCGTAAGGACTTCCTGTGTCAGTACTGTGCCCAGCGCTTTGGCAGGAAGGACCACCTGACACGCCACGTGAAGAAGAGCCACTCGCAGGAGCTGCTGAAGATCAAGACAGAGCCACCAGATATGTTAGGTCTTTTAGCTTCCGGATCCCCGCCCTGCTCTGTGAAGGAGGAGCTCAGTCCAATGATGTGCGGCATGGGTCCCAACAAAGATCCAATGATGGGCAAACCTTTTCCCAGTGGAGCCCCTTTTCCAATGGGCATGTACAACCCCCACCATCTCCAGGCAATGTCTAATACGGGGGTGGGTCACCCACACCCGTCCCTAATGCCCAGCTCCTTGTCTGCAGCTATGGGCATGGGCTGCCACATGGAATCCCCTGGACCTCTTCACCCACTCTCCCATCACCACCACCATCATCACCACCATCACCACCACCACCATTCCCCTCCACTGMCTACCCACCACCAGCCTCCGGCTCCCCAGCAGCAGCACCAGCCCCAGCCAGCCCCCAAATACCAGCTGGGATCTACCTCATACCTGCTGGACAAGCCCTTGAAAGTGGAGATGGAAAGCTTCCTCATGGATCTGCAGAGTGGCTTGCCATGTCCAGAGCCCCACGCTGCTGCCTCGCCCCCCAAGGACGGACTGGAGCCCACCTCGGGCCTGACGGATGAGCTTTGCGGGGATCCCCTCCTGTCCAAGAGCCCTGCGGTGATCGCTGAGTCTCTGTGTGCTGCTAACATGGACTTCTCCCATCTGCTGGGGTTCCTGCCCCTCAACCTGCCCCCCTACAGCACCCCCATGAACACAGGAGGGCTGGTGATGGGCTACACCTCATCTGCAACCTCCTCCTCTTCTTCCTGCTCCTCCTCCTCATCTCTGCACGCTGCCGAGCCCCATGCAGCTGCCATCGCCACGGCACCTCTTACCTCTTTGCAACCGCAACCTCAGGAGCAGCAGAGCTCCAGTGGGGGTCTGGGCCTCGGACCCATGCACCCCCTCCCCCCAATGTTCAGCTCCAGCCTTAGTACCACCACACTGCCTCGCTTCCACCAGGCTTTCCAGTGAGAGAGAGCCGGCCCTCGGCTCAGCCCTGCGCAGCCATGGCGGCCTCCGTGCCTTCCTCAGCTCAGCTCAGCTCAGCATGGATACTTCAGGTGTGGCGCTTCACAAAGCCTGATTGAAAAGTTGGAGAATTTGAATTAATAAACAAGCAAATGAACACTTAGAAGCCTTAAATGAAAGTGCACAAAAGCTTTTGATTGAGCCTTAAAAGGAAGTTAAACCCCTTTGAGCAAAAAATTAAAAGGTGAGAAAAGAAGATAAAGCAGCTTTTATTTGGGCTTTTCTCCCCTTATCCTATAGTTATAACGACGTATTAACCCTTCTTTTTTAAATTTCCATTTACCTCAACTTTTATCCCCCTTCCATCCCCTATTTAGTAGTATAGAGGGCAGGATCAGTAGGCCAAAAGGCACGGTACTGCATACTTTATCATGTAATAATTAAAAAAAGTCAAAGATATTTTTTAGTGAAGATTGTCTGTCTTGTTGTGACCCAGAAAAAAATATAGTTTGAAGTGGATATTTTGTTTTACTTTATTTTTCTTTTCCAAATGTAAGAACATTGTAGAATGTGTCTCATCTTGACTTTTGAACCACCCACTGTCATGACGAGTACAGAGAGGAGAGAGATCAGTGAAGGAATGAAGTGAGATAGAAATCCAGTGAACGATTTAATCTTAGCTCGAAAATCCTCCTCTTAAAACCACCAGGCTCGAGCCACAAAAGTGAGCCCTGCCTCTAAAAAAGTGCTCTTCACACGAGATTAAAGCAACAGTCTGATGGAAGACCCAGTTTTTTGAACAACTGATGTGCTCCCAGAGTCAGGTCAGTTTTAATGGAAATAGTTCACTCAATGAAAACCCGAGGTCCTGCCTCCTCTGCTTGCTGCCAAACACAGAGACCAGTCACACACACTTTTAAACGAGAGAAAAAACAAAAAAACAGGAAGAAAGGTAGAAGTGTGTGAGTTGGTTGAATAAGTTGTATCATCATGCTGGCTTTTTTTTTTTTTTTTTTAAA